TCCTTTAAAAGCACTACTGCACACATGTGAACAGGGGGAACTGACCAATATTTGAGTTGAGCAGTTTAACCTTATTTGTAAACGTGTAATACGGTTATAGAAGCAGAATCATTTCCCCGAGACGTCATCATTTCTTCCGGTCGCGACCGAACGCCACGCGTTCCAGCCGTTGTTATTGATGATGTCCACCGCTGCAGTGTCAGCGGCCGCTCTCTCTGTATTTTCGCGGAATGACGACGGCATCGGGAGGTCGAGCAGGGGATCCCTCATCTATCATCGCACAATAAGCCGGCCGGGCTGGCCGCCCGCAGCCAAGAGAGCAATCTCCTGGCCGGAAGGAAAAAACACTCGTATGCAGACAGCTGTCGTCATGTTGCGCTTTCTTGCCCCGCCCATATGAGAGGGCGCGCCGTTTCAAGCAAAAACCATTCCAGCAGCGCCACCCCACCCGAGCTCTACCCACAGGATCCCAGGCACAGCAAAAAAAAAGAGCAACAAACAAACAACAACTTCCAAGAGAATTGAGACAAGACAAGACAGTTGTCTATTGCGTCGTATTTTGACCCCAGCACTAAAAATTTAGTTTCCGCTATCACAAACTTCAGTGAGAGGCAATAATGAACATGGGAGGCCAGGCAACACCACTTATGTAATTAGAACAAATTGTTTAGTGCGTCAAAAACTTTCGGTCTGGGGACTAAAAGTCCAGTACCCAGGAATAAAACTTTTTGTGGGTGAGGAATGCATTATTTATCTTTAAGGCAACAAATACGTCTGTTGCATAGTTTTAAACGTTAGTCCACTCACATCAAGGGCCTTGTATTTTTTCTTGATCTGTGTCACCTCAACAACCATGCATGTAGTAGTTTTATTTTTTCCATACGATGCGTACATAGTGACCTAAACAAAACTCCTTCTCTCTTTCCGAGACAGAAACACCTCTCAGCTGACTGCCGCTGCCGTGTGCAGCGGAGGGTGACACCAAGGACGACAGTCGACGAAAGGAAAAGAAAGGGCAAGTGACGCTTACATAATAGCTGGGGCGCATCACGGAAAAACATCACGAGATGGCCCCAAGCCGCCACACGCCACCCGCAGGCAGAGCCACGACACGACGCGCCGACCAGCACTTTTGTCCTCATCCCGCTATTTGCACACTACACCCACGACCAGATGAATCGCTATTGACACTTCCTCTATGAACCTGGACTCAATAAATCTGTCACCGAGTGTGTGCCCGCTGGGAGCGAAGGGGGAGGGGAGGGGG